TCACTCCCAGCGCGGTGGTGCGAGGTCTGGCTTCTCCCTTTTGTGATTTGAAGCTCCCTCCAAGCTCACCGCAAGACCTGAGAGTACAGCCGCCTGCATCTCACTGCAGACTCATAGTCTGAGTTCTTGTTAAGGAATTATTTTTCAGTTACCATTATATAGAAACCCTATTTCTTTTGCTATAGATCTTTGTGATGATAGCCTAATAAATTAAGTTCCTTAACAAGATCCCAGTAAGTATCCGGGCCAGCGAGCTCCACAGAGCAGACCATGCTCTTGCAAAGAGCCGGTTCTTAGCGGCGCTGGAAGGACCGTCGCTGATGGAAAATGCGAGCTATGATCTGAATCCTGCATTATTCATACCTGCATTACTCATATAACGAGGACTAGACCATCATTCCCAGAGTTTAGAGTCCTTACAGGGTAACTGCAGGGTTTATATATCATCAACAGTATCAAAGTCAGGCGAACGTAATTGCAGCGAGGAGTTCTCTTTGACAGCGGCGGTCCTCGCTCCGAAGCAGCGGCCCGGACGCCAAGCGCAGCGCCCGCCTGCGGAGCAGGAAAAGGGCTCTGCCAAGCGCCCCACGCTCTTGGTATTAGGGTCCTTCCTCTAACGGGTTCCTTTACGGCGTCCTTTGAAGGGATCCATAAGGGTGTAGGGATGGTAAGAACAGTGGTGCTATCGAAAGAGAAACAGTATACTAAGAAGCAGAATCATCAGAATAGTCTTCTGTGAGCGCTGCGGTTGTATCGAGCATGCTTGGAGGCGCTGTCATGTGCTTGGCATTCTTGCTCGAGAGCTCCTCCGACGGTGTCCTCCCACGCCTCTCCGCCTTTCGAGTCTTCGAGCCTTTGGGGCCATGGCATCAGAGTCCGTGGAGTCCTACCTGAAGGCGGTGATACAGCCGCTGACGACGGACCTGGCCACGGACATGCTGCCGATCTTGCCCGAGGCGGGTTGAACTTCTTATTCTGTCAACTGCCCATGCGCATTGCCAGTAGCCCGCGCCATGTAGTTGCAGATCTCCATGACCGGCGGCCCAAAGCCAGCAGACAGAGCGCTCTCATCAGAGAGCTCTTGCGCATCTCTTCCGCCAGGATCCGGAAGGCTTCATGGTCCACTGGCTCCGCCAGCGCGCCCCGGAGCAGCCCGTGCAGATGTCCTTGCGCCGCCGCAACGAAGCCCTGAAGCAGGAGCCGCCTTTCCGGGAAACTCTGCGAGACTTCTTCTCTCGCGGGTCCACGTCTCTTCTTCTTTCGGCGTCTTCACAGCTTCGATTGCCTTCTTTTACGTGGTTAGTAGCCTTTCGCTTCAGGAAGGGGGGGGTCGGCTCTTCCAAGAAAGCGGTTTTTTTTTGCAGCCGCGTGCGTCGGTTTTTGTCGCCGGAGCGGAAGCCGAGCCCAGCGCAGGAGCTTTCGGCCCTGGAAGGCCAGCTTTCAGCGGCTTCGCGCGGCGAGGGCGCCAAGGCCGTTGGGCGTGGGCAGCGCAAGTCGGGGGGGTTTTGTTTGTGTGTTTTTGGGAGGTATGGGTGGGTTTTATCTGGAGCCTCCGAAACATAGCAAAGCCTACTAGCCAAAATTCATCGGAAGCCCCTTGAAGCTACGGCGCAGGACCTGTCGGATTCCCACGGCGGCACAATGGCCGAGGCATGTTTTTGGGGGTCCAGCAGAAGCCGCGGTTTTCTTTGCCTCTTGCAGTGCTCGCATAGCTTCTTGCATTCCTTTGATGTGTTTCGGGGTTCGTGGGAAATCACTGGAGCTTGAAAGCCTCTGCAGGACTGCGGCGGCACCTGCATGCAGGACCGACGACGGAAAGCGTGTAATAATTAATTGGTGCATGGGTGTCATGCCATGACACGTGCAACCCAAGATCTTTCATGCAGGATCGTGGATCGGTTGCTTTAAGCTTCACTGGTTCGATTTCCCATCAGGACTTCGACTTGCCTTTTGCAATGACCGGCCTGCCGCAGATGCAAGCGCCCTTCAAGCGCAGCCAGCTGTGGCAGTACCAGCCCCGCACGGACACCTGGGAGAAGGTGCTCGTTTTGCTCGGCCCCGGCATTCTCGAGACCTTCGGCGAGGCCTCGGGCGAGCGCCAAGCCCGGCTCATGCTGGGAGCCACCGGCTCCGCCAAGCCGGAGCACGAGAAGCTCCCGCCGGAGTCCGAGGGCTACGCGTTCGAAGTGTCGAACTTCGTGCAGGCGGAGCCGACGTTGACGCACCTGCGCCTGGCGGCGGCAACGGAGGAGGAGAGGCGGGAATGGCTCCTGGCCATCAACGGCCATGCAACCGGGCTGCAAATCGCATTCTGTCGGGTTCCGCAAGATGTATCAAGATGTTGGCCTAGATGGCCTTGGTTTTAGAATTGGAGCTTTTTCGCTGACTGAGACCACGGCGCTGCTCTGCAAGATGGGGGCCGCCATCGCCATGTTGTCCGCAAAGCTTCAGAGGCTGAAGTCTGGCGCCGCCGCCGCCGCAACGCCCGAAGGAGGCGGGCACTAAAACCTGAGCGCTGCAGCATGTAAAGGGGATGCCTGTGGAGTCTGGTGGGGTCAGTGGCTCTTGCCCGGAAAAGGTTTCGCCCTTAAGGCAGATAATTTCGCACAGCTTGCACAAAAGCTCTACGTGGAGCATCGGAGAAGTTAGCAAGTATACCAAGCGCAGGATACCACAGTTCAATCGGAGTTGTGCGCAAAACCAATGCACCCACTTAATTTCATAACCATTTTGGTGAAACCATTATTGCTCTCGTATAGTCATGATCTTTCGCAAGTCCGCCAATCATCCAAGTCCTTCCCCCGCATCAGCCAGACCAGGTTGCCCCAGAGATCAAGTTTGTAGAGTCAAGAGCCCCTCCAGCAACTCTATGCGTATATAGCCACTTGCAACAGCAAAGCTCACGAAAGGCGAAGGGATGGCCCAACTGGAGCGCCGCTTGTCGCGGCTCGAGCAGCAGGTGCAGCCGGAAGAAGCCCAGAAGCAAAAGCCGAAGAGGGGGGGGGGGGGGGGGGGGAAGCCTTGGTGGGCAAAGAGCCTTCGGCCCCCCGAGGGTTTAGGGTTTTGCATGGGCCTCCTCTTCCCAGCGCTTCCGAAAGCACAGCGCTCCGCAGGGAGGACGATGAAGAAGTCGACCCGGCGACGATGCCCACGAACTACGCCTCGGCGCTGGTGCCTTGGGCCCACAATGAGATGCTGGAGATTAGAGTTCAGACTTGCATGCGAGTCTGCGGCGTCCATAGGGCCTTCGGAGAATTTATCACCTGTGTGTCTGCGTGTGCTGAAGCAGGGCTCTTGCACAGGAGAGCGCAAGAAATCAACAACCAAATGTGGCTAGAGTTGATAGAGTCGGAGGGCACCTGGGATGCGCCAAACCGGGATCTCTCTGTTTGCGGGAGCGTGCATGGCGAACGACGCATTGCAAGACTTTGGCTCGCACGGCTCAGGACCTGTCTGGAGGGAAGACGCGACTGGACAACTACGAGGACCGGGTCCTCGGTTCACTCTGTGTCGGAGTCTGTCTTGTGTGTACAGTCATTGTATCAGCAGGTCGGCTCGAAACACTTTTCCTGCGTCCTGATGTTGCCTTGCTGTCCATCTCATCTGAGTTTGCATCGTGTCTTCTCACCTTGCATCCCGTCGGATTGCAAAAGGGCCTTTTGCAGCCGCAGCATCACCATGTGACCTTCTAATTGCATTGAAAGGCAGAGGGCTTGAGGTGCTGTAGTGAGTCTTGGTTGGAGTTCGGACCAGTGGGTGGTAGCGGCCACTGCGCCTTCGTAGACTTTGTTTCCCCTTTGTGGCCCTATTCAATCAGAGCATCGCCTCTACAACACAGCTGCCCTCTTCCTCGAAGACTTCCGTGCGCGACCCGAGGCCTTCAGCAAGGAGCTCAAGGAGAAGTACGAGCCCAACAAGGCCATGCACCCCTTGCGTCCTCTCAAGACCGGCACAACATACCCTTGCAACCTCCCGGGTCTAAGCGCGTCTGCCAGTGCCACACACTGACATGAATGCCCTGCATGTGTCGGGCAGCCGACATAACTTCAGTGTTCTCATGACTCATGATGTTCTCCCCAGCTCCCAGCAGCAAGCCTGTGCTGAAGGAGCTTGTGGAGATGATGAGCAAGGACTGGCAGAAGCGGCGCTCCTTTTCCACGAAGATGAACTATCAGCCGCAGCTCCGTCCGCAGAGAGCTTCTTCCGGACTGGACTGCCGAAAGTGCCTCTCTGATGTTCCTGACGCGTGGCAGTGTGCTGCTTTGAGGTATCAAAACACACTGGAGGAGCTCTATGCGTTCTGCAAGGACGACCCGTACATTCAAACATCAGCTTTTTTGTCAGACTCTCAAGTACCTGCTGCAGTTTTCCTCGTGTTGTCTGGCTGCTCGCTGAACCAGCAGTCGCGAACGCGCTTCTTTTTTTTTTTTCTTCCCTGCTCTCCTTCGCTTCTCTTGCCGATGCTGTGCAAGAGGAGAAGGCCCCGATCTTCTTCGCCAAAGTGCGGGCTGTGGCAGAGCGCACCGGTGGTCGCAACGTGGAGCCGCCCCTGAAAGGCATGCAGAGGTGCCAAGACAAGGCGCAGTTCAAGTACAAGGACACCGGCAGAAGGCTCCCATATATGATGGCATCTCGTGGCCTTCTTTGTTGGCGATTTTTTGTGTTTCTCTCTGCAGGGAGCGGAGCGATGATGCCCAGAGGGAGAGACTCGAAGCGGGCCTGACAGCTGCGTGCAGAGCACTGTGCTCGCCTGCAGGACAAGAATGGTGAAATCTCGTGGCACAGATTGACGGACATCGTGCGGGACACCATCGTCTATCAAAATTTGGACGACATGTGGGGGCCTTGGAAAAGGGAAAGCTTGCACATGCTTGCACACCCACAGCTGTAAAAAGCATGTGCTCGATGGTTCGGACGTCGGCAGCGCCTCGAGGTACAAAGGTCTCCAAGCAATCCACGAAGACGAGGAGATCGACATCATCGAGTGCAACGATCGTTATATGAACCCGCTCGACGGAGGGTATCGTGACGCTTGGCTTCCGTGTCGCAGCAGAGCCCATCCTCCCCCTGCAGCGATCGTCCTTGGCGGAGATTCCGTCCATTTGCTGCAAGTGCAATTGAAAAAAGGAGAGCCTTAATGTGGCCCCCCATCCAAGGACCTTCAGCTAAGCCTTCGCATCCAAGAAATGGTCTGCGAGCTGCAGCCTCTCGCCTGAGCCGGCACCTGCTTCCTTCGGGTCATTTTTGAGACCAAAGAAATCTCAAAGCTTCGAAACCTTCGCCTGCCATGTGGCCCTCTGCGCCCGTGCCGGGCCCTTAGAGCTTCTGGCATTTTTGGAGCCCGGTGCCCTTTTTGAGGCTGAACACGAAGTGGATGCTGCACGTGAAGCAGAGCGCGGGGCACCGGTCCTTCGAGGTCTCCCGGGAGGAGCCTCGGCCGGGGTGCTTTGAGTCTGAGAGGGTTTAGACTTCGAGCTTTGGGGGGGGAAAGGGGCCGATTTCATGGAAAGGCTACTGCGAGCTCTACCAGGTAGATTGCAGTGGACAGTTAGAGAGAAGCTGCTGCATCTCAAAGAAGGTCATGGCAGCGGTTGTGGAGCCGGATGCAGTGGAGAGGTGCCGCAACATCCTGCAGTGGGGCAAGGACCGGAATTTCGGGCAAAGGGTGACAACGTCTGGGGCACAATGACGCTTTGAGCTTGCAGCTTTTAGAAGCTCGAAGCCCTCTTACTGGTACTTCTCTCTCTCCCGAATCCGCGTGACAGCCGCTCCTTCGAAGGAGAATCTGGGCCCCAATGCCGACACCGAACTCCAGGATCGTGCTTGCTTCTGCCTAGTGGAGTTGGGAGAGTTGTGAGTTTGGTGTCGAGGGCATCTGAGACTTCTTCTGAGAGTTGTTTTCGACATCCTGCACAAAGATCAGAGGAAGGTCCCGAAGCTCCCAAAACCAGGACATGCTGAATGACGATAAGAAGGGCCTCCTCCACAAGGACTGCCCCTGCTCTTGCTCTAGACGGGAATCCTCCGAAGCCGGGGGGTAGCCTACAGTGGGGTGCTTCTACGCTTTGTTGTGCCGCCTCCGCTTCCTGCACGCGACTCGATTTCGAGGCTGCGAAAGCGGGGAACGCGCACCTGGTGAGCGTCTTCTTGGCCTTCCGCGCGGACGTGAACCACAGGGAGCCCAAGACGCTCCGGACGCCCCTGCACGAAGCCATGGCGCAGGGCCACGAGCGGGCGATGTGGGCCCTTCTCTGTGCTCGCGCCGACCTCCGAGCTCGAGATAGGGACGGCCAGGCGGGAGGGTCGGGCAGGCATCAGGGGCTCGGAGCCATCACAGACAGGGAGACAAGAGATTCTCCGGCATGTGCGAATTTCTACTTGAGGTGCCTCTCTTGGACGGCCTGTTGAAGCTGCGCCAATCGGGAGGCAACGAAGGCCGCATGCACGTGAGTTGAAATAATCTTGGACCAGCCAGCCCGCTGCTGCTGCTGCTGCTGCTGCCGCTGCTGCTAGTATTTGATGGTCTTCGACAAGCATGGCAGCACCTTCGATGAAGGCGTCGCACGCCTCGTGTCGGTGGCCGTCCAGTGCGCAGAGGGTGGTCTGGACCAGCTCCTGGCCTGAACACAGTCTGTTGACAGTCTGTTGCTGCGAAAGCAGAGTTAAAGCTTGACCCCCTTCCGGGAGGGCGGCAACCTCGGAATCAAACCCTAAACCCTAAACTCTAAACCCACGCAGTGAGTCTCGGATGTGCGAGGCTGCGTGAGGCGAAGGATGGCCTGGGTGCTGCCGTGCAGCGAAAACTAATTCCAAGCCAGGATCTCATCGCAGCCTGCACCGGCCTTAATGGAGAGTGCTCGGGCGCGGCCTGTCTCTGTCTGTCAGTCAGTCTGTCTGTCTGTCTGTCCGTCTCTGTCTCCCTCCCTCTCTCTCTCT